GGGCGGCTCGAGATGGCAAACTCAATTGCCATCCCTATAAACCCCTGTTTCCCAACAATACTTTTTTTTTTTTTTTTTTTTTTACATATTTATTTTTCAACCACATATTCATTATTCAACCACATATTCATTAAATAAAATATTCTGCATGTAAATCTAATTTTTTTTAACTTTTTAACCACATATTCTCCTAAAAGTCACTATTCAAAACTTTTTTTATTTTTTTTTTTAAATTTGAAAAGTATGGTTCCCAAATAGGGGCTATTTTACATCATTTGCATTAGCAGTGGATATAGTTTCATTTGGTTCTAATTCCAAAAGAACTAAATTGAACCATGAACTGATGATTTTTTTTTCTAATAATAGAACCAATTGATTTTTATTTATTATTATTATTTTTTGAGATATAGAGCTTAATCGGAACCAAACCATTTGGTTCTCGCTTGGTTTGGTTTTAATTACATTACAGATTGAGAAAGAAAAAAGAGGGAACATTTGAGGAAGAAGAACCGAAGGTTGAGGTTTTAATTTCAAAAAGTTAAGGGCGATGGTGACTGAGCACGATGGTAGATGACATGCAACAGTTGGCATCTATATGAGAGTCGGCGTATGAATTGAAAATGATAGAAAATAAGAAATGAATTAAGGTACGAGTCTTCAAAACGAATTATGGTCAATGGTTTTTCACAATGAGAAATAAGAAATCGAAGGTAACACTCACACAAATAGTAATGATCTCCTAAGCAACGACATTTAGCTTATATTAAGCACCACCGACGTGGCACACCAATTAATTGGTGAATCATTAAACTTATGGGGCTTAATATTAACTTATTTACCAATTAATGATTTACCACGTCACCGGTACTTAACATAAGTTTAGCACCAGTGCTCAGGAGATTATATAAATATATATTGTTGAATTTTTTATCCAAATTATGTTTGATTTTTTTGGAGAAAGTATTTTTTCCTTTATTACGTGGAAGCATATTATTAGTTCTGCCTATGCGTTTGCACTGTCAAATTATAATTGGACACATTCGAAATATAGAACCCAGGAAGCATGTGGTACATGATTATTACCTCGCCTTTATTTAAGGCTTGAAAACAAAAAGATGAAGACTCTGTTGGGAATTTACTTAAACATGCACAGCGAAAATAAAAACAATTTCAATTCCCACCAGAATTCATTTTTGTATTTAGATAAGAACTATGATGAAAATTATACCTTTTCTTGAATTTGCAAACTCATTTGCGTTATCTTTATTCCAACAACTTGAATCTGCCTCCCACAGCTGTCCAATTGTCCAGCCTCCAATAAATTTCACACAGAGAATAGACTGCAACTACTAGAGTTTCTCCTCTTGTGCTAGCAAGAATTATGAAAACTCTATGGATCTAAAACTCTAGTAATGTATTTATATAAGCCTAAACGGACTCGGCCTGGTCCGGTCCAATATTTAATTAATTCATTTAATTAAATTCGGTCCATAAATTAATTAATCCAATTAAATAATTCGGGGTTATAAATAACCAATCCAATTAATTAATTTATCCAACGATTGTTACATTAATTAATTGGCAAATTTCAATCTTCCAATTCGCTTTTGTGTGCGACCCATCAGGTTTTCGATCACGATGTCTAACGACGTGAAATATTATTTTGATCTAATCAAAACTGATAAATTAAAACACACTTTTAATTTATCACAAATTCACACTCGCCGTCTCAAATTGATATTTAGCAATGTATCAGGGCAACACATGTGACGAAAAATGTCACGTGGTATGACAAAATCAAACATGTTCGTTTACTATGAAACTATAATCCCTTCGTCAATATGATCCAATTAATTACGAGATATGAAAGTGTGTCAATCTCGATTATCGATCATATCTTTCATTCTATTATTAAGTCAATATGAGTTGAAAACTCATTTTCGACTTATGTGTATAGGCCAAGGATTTCGTTATTGATTTAATTGAACGAAATGCAGATCACAGTCTCTTACTATCTAAGAGTGACGAATCCTCTATTGATCATTCACAACCTTCGTATGGTTCTTGACATACCCAAAGTATGCTGTATTAGCGGCCCTTGTTAGAGCAACATCTTACACCGTCAAAGCATGACTGTCCTCATACAAAGCACTATGATGACCTCAAGTCAAATGACCAATTTCACTACCGAATGTTAGAGATTAACCACTGACACTCAGATAGTTATGCATGTGGAATCTCTTAGCAGGTCTCCAATATTTTGTTCTATAACAAAATATCCACGTGTTCATTTAAGTGTCAACACACTTTAACTTGTGAGATCAGCTACTTATTTCACAAGTAAGAAATGACACATGTGATGGTCTATCTGTAATAACGATATCCGTATCTCGTTATTACTTACAACCACGGATTATTCAAGATCCAATCATACGTAATTTGTATCTCACAATCACAACTCCTTGTGATTAACAAATCACTTAAACTTGAATCTTCGGACTCTATTATTTAATATTATTTTAACGAAAAATTAATTTAAATAAATAATAGATCTTGCCAAAATTAAATACATTAAACATATTAAAAGTGTTTACAACCTAAATCGATTGGATTTAGGGCATAACACTTACAAACTCTCACTTGCACTAGATCCAATCACTCATGTATCTAATACCATAAGCATTCACATAACGATCATGTTTCTGTTGTGAAAACGACTTTGTCAATGAATTTGCAATATTGTCATCTGTGGGAACTCGCTCTATCGTTACGTCATTTCTTTGTATAATCTTCTTGAAGAGATAATATCACCTTAACATATGTTTGGATTGTTGATGAGACCTCGGTTCCTTCGCTTGTGCGATGGCTCCATTGTTATCACAATACAAAGGTATGTGATCAACAATGCTAGGAACCACTCTCAGTTCATTAATGAACTTCTTGATCTAGACAGCTTCCTTCGCTGCTTCAGAAGCAGCAATGTACTCGGCTTCTGTTGTTGAATCAGCGGTTGTCTCCTGTTTGGAACTTTTCCAACTAACGGCTCCATTGTTGAGAGTAAACATATATTCTGATTGAAACTTGCTATCATCTTTGTCAGATTGAAAGCTAGCATCAGTATACCCATGAATCTT